TTAAAATGGGCAGTAAGAGAAGCCCAGCACATTATTATGATTCTTCTTGCTCCTACTAGGATGTACTGATGTGCACAAAAAATGTTTCAAATTTGATGTTAATATTTTTCAGCTGTACTTTTGTGTTTGTTTTATATCAGAGAGGCTAAGCTTTTTTGCTTACCAAGGTTCCTGTTGAAAAAAGGCAAAGGGGAAAAAGGTATATTAACTTCATCATAAAGTAGGCATGGTCATGGTTTTCTTATAAAACTTACACTTTTCCATTGCCCTCTTGCCAAACAGGTTCCACAAACATCTCAAACTAAAAAAGGCATCATCGCTACTCTCATCTGTTCTTGGGCAGAGATAGAATAAAAAGGTACAAAGAACCAACATATCAGAATTATATCTGCAATACCAGAACCTTGAAAAGCTCAAGCTTATGAGATTTAACAATCAACAATTTGCCAGCCATGGCACGTAGTCAAACACAATGACTAGGCCTTATCTCTTTATTAGATTTACATGCCTCCAAAAGAAGTAAAAACCGAATGGCATTAAATAAACCAACTGGACTACCCAGATGACTCCAATATTAATCATATCCTAAACCAAAGAGAAAAAGTAAACCCAACTCCTTCAAGTTTACAGTCAACTTCAAACCCTGGTAGGCTCCCTTTATAAAAGTTTAACATAATTCACACAAGACAGCACTTGATTATCATTTCCTAAAATTATTCCAAGTGTGCTTATATTAGCTCAACAATACAACCATCTAGGGGATAAGATTATATATAGGATTACTGTATATCATTTCTAACCCTCACTTAAGTGTAACCTAGCATAGGACCAGATACACAATATCAATTCTATAATTCTGTTGGTTAACTCATATGGTGATATATATATATTTATAAAAATTGCAGATGAGGTGGGAACCCAGAAAGAGACTTAACAGGAAAACTCTGACTTTTCTATGGGTAGCATCTAAGAGAAAGAAAACAGAATAGGGAAAAGATTACTTAGTATTACAAAGTTAATACTTACAGTATTCTAAAGAGCCAGACTCTTCTTACAGCTGTCCAAGGAGTTAATAGTACAAACTGCACCCTGACCTGGGCTGACCTTTCGACATCCTTCTGAGGAATAGTATCCTTTCTCAGTGATTACAAAGAACTGCTGTTGTGATGACTAGTTATTTGCTTCAGTAGTTCCTTATTAAATGCTTCTGTCACCACACCCTGTACACTAGAGGCTAGGCTATTCATTTTTACCAGGTAGCTCACTGTCAAATTTATGTCCATTAGAATGACTAGATATTGGCTTATTATTCTTTTGATATAAAGCAGGGAAACAGGTCCCATCATTTTTAAGTCCTCACTTCAGTGCGATGCTTAAGGCTACTTTAAATGAGCACAATTAAACAGGGTGTATTTTATGCAATAGATTAATCAAATAAGGTGACCTATGGTTTTCAAAAGCACCTCAGTATATGTAGTTTAATTTCATCCTTTTGCAGTAATCTTCTTGAAGTAAAGGCTGGTTGGTGTTCCAAATGAAGAAATTTAAGGATTAGAAAATTTAGGTAGTTTTTCCAAAAGTGAATGGTGGTAAAGCCCAAATAAGGCATGGTTTTAAAATGGTGGTAGAGCCCGGCTGGTGTGGCTCAGGGGTTGAGCATCGACTTGTGATCCAGGAGATCACAGTTTGATTCCTGGTCAGGTCACATGCCCAGGTTGTGTGCACGACCCCCAGTAGGGGACAGAGGCAGCCAATCAATGATGCTCTCATCACTGATATTTCTCTCTCTCTCCCTCTACCTTCCTTACTCTGAAATCAATAAAGACATATTTAAAAAATAAAAATAAAATGGTGGTAGATCCCAAAGATACTAGTCTTAAGAGTTCTATTCTAGAACTCGTTTGGCATAACAAGAGTCACAGTGGTCTATCCATAGACCCACCACCCTTAGTAAAATGAGACACTGGTCATCAGGTACATGGTATAAATGGGTTTTTAACTTCAAAAATTTAATGACCAGTTTATCAATTCCACTTTGCAATCTAGATGTCTTTCTTAATAAAAAATTAACATTAACTTTTTGGTTGTATCCTGGCAATTGATTCTGTAGAATAGCAATATACAAAAGGAGAGATTGTTAGCCAAGCAACCTGCTTTGGAAGGAAGAATGCAGAGACAGTGCTAACATTCTTTCCTGGGGAGATAACTCTCAAATGATACTTATATATATTGGAAATCCGAAATGTAAAGGGTGGCAATCCAGCTGCTTGGGCTTGACTTGCCTTGAACATTTTGCCCCTTAAAGCAGTAACAGAGGCAGGTAGAGATAGCCCCTGACCCAAGAATGGGACAATAAATGGAATTCGGATCGTTAATAAACACAAGAAAAGGAGTGAAGGTCCATCTACTTAGTTTAGGCCTGCTTTTGGTAATCAAAACTGCACAAACACAACATCAAAGTGGTATGGGGGTCTTGGGCTGATGGGTTGAAAAATGGGAGAATCAATACTGTGTTAATTAACAACACAGAAGGGCCTTTGGGTAGTCATCATTACTTAGAAGCAATGCAAAAAAGGAAGTAGAGGGGTCCATGTCAGATGTACAGGACCAAGGAAAATATAACTGAGGCATTAGAGCTATATAAACTGGATAAGCCAATGACATCTGGTATTGTTAACTTTTAAGTCCAAGTGAAGGGGCCTTGCCCAGTCAGTGTTCCCCACCAACAGTGTAAAAGGGGCAGGGCAGGGGCAAGAGGGATGACGGACCACAACACTATCTAATGGCTGGATACATGAGCACCTGAAATTGTGACTAATGGTCCATAAGGGTCAAAGGACAGGCAAGAGGTGGAGAGAGGGAAGATAAGGGTAAGACCATGACTACTTGGAAATGTATGTCCTGGAGCAATGCAAAATGAGTGGGAGTATGGATTGCTGTTTGAAGGACAAGTTAAGGGCATACTGCAATGTTTATACTTTATGATGCCACGAGAAACTGGGGCTGGGAGTACTTGCCTAACAAGGACAGGGAGGACAAATCCATTGCTAATTGCCATTGTGCCTATTAACATTTAACATTTGCAGAAGTTTTATGTGGTCAGCAGCCCCTGCAGTAATGCAAAGGGGGTATAAGGGAATGGTAGAGTATCCTACTCTAACAGAAGGGGGCATAGGTAATTGCAAATATTCACATTAACAGTCAAAAAAGGGGGCCCTGGTGAGACAGTATCCCTGATGTATACAAAGAAGGTGTGGGGTCCTATCTAATAATCAGCACTTTGGATAAATGTACAAGAGCTGAGGTCATGATAGCACGCCTCAACTGTAATTCAAAGGCAGAGGTAAGGGCATAGAGCACCCTTTCCTACTCCACAGGTCCACAGGCAAATACAGTTAATTATGCACATTAATAATCTCAAGGGAGAATCAGGAGATGCAATCCTACTCTAAAAGAAGCATTGGACAATAGCAATTATGCACATTAAAGTTTAAAAAATAGCATATCCTTGCTCTAAAGCAAAGGGTACAGTCACTCTGGTATAAGACATGCTTACATAATTACATTTGTGCACATGAAACTTCCAAGTGAACGGGTCTTCAGTAGTAGGCACTGTCTGCTGAAAATGCTAAGGAAGTAGGTGATGTGCATATCTAGCACAGAGAACACGAGAAAATGTAACTGCAGATATTAACAGTCCAAAAGAGGGCTTTGGTTGATCAGCTCACTCTGCTGCACTGCAAAGAGAAGTTGGTGGGGGGGGTGACCTTAGACTACTGATGAAGACAACAGAAAGTTTCAATTATGTATATTACCAGTCCATAGAAGGGGCCTTGGGGGAAAACAGTATCCCCTGCAGTAGTGCAAAGGAGGTACAATAGTCCCAGAAGTGATGGGATTAAGGAAAACGGCAATTCTGCACGTTAACTGTCCAAATGTAAAGGTCTTAGTAATGTGTACCACCTATTGGAAGGCATAGGAAGTTGGGGACTGGGTGTCAGAATCCCTGTGGCACTTCAAAGGCAGTGAGAAGTGGAATGATCCTAATGTAATTATTATACACATTAACAGTTTGAGAAAGGGGCCTTAAGTGGACATACCCCACACAGTAAAGCAGAGGGTATAAAGAGTCAGGAACCAAAGTTAATTCAAAGGATCACGAACAACTAATTAAACATACCCACTGTCCCAAGACAGGGCTTTAAAGTTAGTAACATCTGCTTCCGTAAGTGCAGGAGTCCTGATTGAAACGGCAGTTATGGGCAACTGAGAGTGTGCACAAGACAGTAAAAGTTGTGCACATTAACTACATCAGTGTGTAAGGTCTTTAGTAGTAGGCAGCTCCTGTTAGAATATAAATATGATGGGGAGTGACCTTACCTGGTATACAGTATAGGAGCAAATGTAAGTATGCACATTAACAGTCCAGGAGAGTGAATCTTGGGTAGTCAGAAGCCCCTGAAGTAATGTAAATGGGGTAAGGAAATGGGATCCCATTCTAACGTAAGGGAGTGCAGACTACTGTAATTGCTGTAATTGGTCAGCACCCCTGCTGCAAAGGAAATAAGAGAATGAGATGCCAGTACAATGTCCCACTTTAACTATCCAGTGTTCCACTTTATCCAGAAGACTTTAGGTGGCTAGTACCTCCTGCTACAATACTAAGAAGTCAGGATATTAGCTTATCAGGAGAGAACATGCACATTAAGAGTCCCAAGAGATTAACTTTCGGTCTCTAGCATCCCATTATAATATAGAAACAATGGGATTATTAGTTTAAAGGGAGAGACCATAAATACTGGAATTCTGCATATAAACAGTCCCAGAAAAAAAGTAGCAGGTAATTAATACACCTTATTGTAAAATGAAGAGGGTACAGGGACCTTTAATAAGACATAATTGTGGCCAATTACCATGACTCACTTTAATTATTATTAGTACAATGGTCCTTAGTAAAGGGCATCCACTTCTGAATATAAGGAAAATGAGTGAGGACTATATCTACTGCAAAGGAGAAAGGACAAAAGCAATACTGCACATTAACAGTGCAAAAGAAGGGGCCTTGGTGTTCAGATGCTCTTCTGTAAAGTTAACAATGTGACAGGAAGGGATACACCTTCACAGTCCCCCTATGTTGTAATGCAAACGAGGTAGGAGAAAAGGGAATCTTAGAGTAACAAAAGGGACCACAGCTATAATTAGAACTTTAAGTTCTAATGACTTCCAGGTGATGTAAAGAAAGTAAATGGTCATCTGTCCCTAAACTAACAAAAGGGACCACACTTGCATTTCCCCCATGGTAATGCAAAAGATGTTTAAGGGCTTGGACCCCAGAATAAGGAAAGGGACTATAGCTGCCTTTAAGCACATTAACAGTCCCAAGTATCCACTGTTATAACGCAAATTGAGATGGAGGGGATGGGATCTCTGACTAACAGAAGGGACAGTTGCTACAACTGACCACTTTTAACAGTCCCAAAAACCCTCCTAGGTAATGTAAAAGGAAAAGAGCAGGATGTGATCCTGGAATTATAGAAGGGACCACATCTTCAATTAAGCACACTGCAGTCCCAAATGCCCATCCAGATACTGTAAAAGGACTAGCAGGTAGATGGGAACCTCGACAAAGAAAGGCACTACTGCTGTAACTTCACAAAACCAAATATACTTCCAGTAAGTGTAAACGACTTGCAGTGCATGGGACCCTACACTAAGAGAAGGGACAGTAGCTATAATTAAGCCCATTAACAGGCCCAAGTACACTCTGCTAAACTGCAAACAGACTGGGAGGAAACGTAAAGTGGCAAAAAGGCACCACAGCTGCAATTAAGCACAGTTCAGTAACAAATCTGCTCCCAGGCAATGCAGATGGATGGGAGGATACAGGACCCCAGAGTAACAGTAGAGACAGTAGACATAAGTTCATTAACAGTGCCAAGGTCCTTCTGTTTTAATGCAGTGCAGATGAGTGGGTTCAACAGTAACATATTGGCAATAGTGGCATTTACGCACATTAACT